CTTGGCAGTGGCTGCTACCTGGGCCTCCATTGTTAAGGAGTCATCCAGGAGCACTCCCAGACTCCTAACCTCCAGTGCTGGCACCAATGGCGCCCCATCAAAGGTCAGAAGTGGGATCTCTACCCCCGGACTGCCGCAGCTCAGGCACAGGACCTCTGTCTTCGTCGGATTCAATTTCAGCCTGCTCAGCCCAAGCCAACCAGCCACGGCTTGTAACGCCCGGTCCAGATCTTCTGGTTTGGACTGGCCATCCAACAGCAGATAGAGCTGGGTGGCCCGCATACTGGAGACAACCCAGCCCATGCCTCCGGGCAATCTGGGCAAGGGGACGCATATAGATGTTAAAAAGCATTGGGCACAGCACTGCCCCTTGAGGCACTCCACACTCCAGTGAGTGCCTCCGGGACAGCTGATCCCCCAGCCCCACTCTTTGTCCCCGCCTTTAAAGGAAGGAAGCAAGCCCCTGTAAAGCTTGTCCCTGAATTCCAGTGTTGGCGAGACGGTGGATCAGTAACTGACTTTAAAAAAAATGTTTTAATATTTCAAAAGACATGAACAATAAAGCTTGAGACAGTCGTACAAATCACTACGGTCAAGTAAAGAATGAAAGCAGTATAACATGGGGACACAGAATGACACCCTCCCATGACCCACTTAAACAATCAACCCCCCTTGTTCCTCCTTTTCCAAAAATAAGGACCGTTTATCTAAGGAACTATACAATTCCCCTTTACTCCGAGAAGCGTCGAAATAAACAGTACATTTTCCCAACATGAAATAGTCCCAGACAACGGAGAGTGGATCAGTAACTGATGGTCGACTGTGTCGAACACGGCTGACAGGTCTAATAACAACAGTACTGCCGATCCACCCCAATCCAGATGCCTTCGGAGGTCGTCTGTGAGGGCGACCAGTGCTGTCTCCCAGATGAAAGCCGGACTGGAAGGGATCTAAGATGGAAGCGTCATCCAGAAAGCCCTGTACCTGCTTTGCCACTGCCCTCTCTATTATCTTGCCCAAGTAAGGCAGGTTGGAAACCAATTCGGCCAGATCCAAAGATGGCTTTTTCAGAAGGGGGCACACCACTGCCTCCTTAAGAGCACTTACAGCTATATGTTCATTCCAAGTGGGATATTGGAGGTTGGGATATTTTTAATAAGTGAGAGATATTGGTGGATATCCCAATATGGCTGCCAGTCCCCTACTGGGGGATCCCCAGTGGCAGTGAAAGGGATTTTTCAATTCAATTCAATTTATTACGGGTCTATATGACCGAAGTCTTGACTAAAAGAGAATGCAAAAGGGGTAAAATAGGTACATAAAATTGACATAAAGTATGACAAAGTACATAGTCACAATCAGTAAACATATAAAACCCAGGAAAAAAGGGATTTTTTAAAAAGGCTGTTGGGCCTATGGTGTGGCAGTCACTTCCAGGGAAACCCAGAAACCACATCATGCCCCTCTAGGAATTGCTGGAAACCCTGTGGTAAAACCATAGTGTTTCCAATGATTCCTAGAGAGGTGTGACTTCTTGCTCCAGAGGTGATGTCACTCAGTTGCTGCTGTCTTCATACACACCCGCCCCCTGCCCTAGTCTTCGGCTGGTTGCCAATCATCTCTTTATTCAGTTTATTTCCCAACCATTTATCTCCTCTCCCTCGAATTCCCAAGTATGACTTGGACGCAGCCAGAAAAAATGCACAATATTTATTTTGTATTACCAAGTATGGTAGTAATGCTTTGTCAGTTGTTGGAAACTTTTCCGAAAGCCTCAGGTAATAGCAAATTAAGGGACACGGGGAGCTGGTGGGCTGGTTGAGACTGCAGCTGGCCTAGGTTTTCTTGAAGTGGTAAGCCTGTGTCTTAGCTGTGATGCTTTGGATTTCCAGTGGAGAGTTCTGTGATGAGGTGGTTTTCTGTATTCAGGGAATTTTTGTTTTCATGACCCCCCCTCGGTGGTCTGAAGCTCCACAGGCCAGACACTTAGGGTTGCCAAGTCAATTTTTCTTACCGGCAGGGGAGCCTCGTCGGGCTCCGGGAGCCATCAATCGATGTACGTGTGGGCCGCCAGCACTTCACCGGAAGTGACGTGCGACGTCGGATCACATTGAAGGCGTGGCCCCGATCGTCAGAGGGAAAACCAACATGATTGACGTGGTTGCGTCACCTCTGGTGACACAGCCACGCCGCGCTTCGGGGGCGGAGTCCCCCCCCCGGAGCCCGATTCCGTGGCGGCGGGAATCGGGCCTCCGAAGCGGGGGGTTACCCACCCCCCGCCCCCACTTGGCAGCCCTACAGACACTTGCCAATTGAGGATGTCGACCTTAGCAGGATTGCAGCTGCCGCTTTCTCAGTTCTAAGTATCAGGCCCGATCCAATGGATCACGGAAAGGCGTGCAACATCTCATTCAGGCATATGTCTTCCCCGTGCTTAACCATTATATGTTTGTTTTGCTCTCATTTTCCTGAGATAGTCCCCTGAAGAAGGGCTGGTCAGGAAATCCTCTTGTTGGCTCAGTAATAACTTTTTTTTTTAAAGCCTTTCTTGAATTCAGCAGTGAAGACACCGTTCTATGCAGCCTGTTATAGAAGCAGTCAGGTCGGTGGAGGCGAGGAGGGTAACATACCTCCATTGTTTTTAAGCACATCTTGCACCGTGGGATCTAATCTTTCTTTAAGAAGGTTCTACACCAAGTCATGTCAATATTCAGAGACTGGTGGCAACGGGATCTTGCCTTTTGGGATGGCTATAATTCCAGGTATGGGAGACGCCACGAATTAACTGGTGTATGCCAGCTTTTTCCTCAGGTGATTCCAGAGTAGTATGGAATCACCTGAGGAGAAAGTTGGCATACACCAGTTAATTCGTGGCTTCTCCCGCTCCTGGAATTATAGCCATCCCAAAAGGCAAGATCTAGAGCTAATGTTAAACTCTCAGACTAGGATCCAAAGGCCTGAGTTCAAATCCCCACAGTGCTGTGAAGCTGCCTTGGGCCAGTCAGCCTAACTTACCTCTTGTGGTTGTTGTCTGGGTACAGCGGGGAAGCAAGAACTCTGTGTGACTCCTCAGAGGAAGAGCTCGGCTGTTTCCCTTTGCTTCCTCTCAACAACACTCTTTTTCTTTTTCTTTTTTTGTGCATCCACACAAAATAATCGTCTGCTTGTCCTGTTTCCAGGTTTCCCCCTCTCTTTGCTGTGATCTTTCTCAGATATGTTTTAATATCTTTTGTGGGGAAATTGCAGTCAAAGGGCCTTTGGACATCTCGTCAATGGGAGGGAGCTCATGTTATCTGGTCCTGCTCCCAATGACACCATTTTCTTTACCCTTTTTAGGGTTTCTAAGAAAAAAAATCAGTAATAGCTATAACATTATAATGAGCTCTCGCAACAAGGTTCTAGTCCCCAACGTTCATGTTTTTTAAAAGAACTAAGCCTCTGCTCCTTTTAGTTACAGAAGGGGAAGATGTGTTATGGGGGCTGCATGTTTCTCCTTATAACTCTGCTGCCAAAAGAACTAGAGACTTAATCAATTGCTGCAGTAGATTGTTATGAAGTTATAATGCTATAGTACTGTAGCCGTTACTGATTTTTTTAAGGCAAGTAAAGCCCCCTGGTGGCAGGGGGTTTACAGAATGGCAGCCATGGAGGGCCAAAGGACAGGAAGTGCTGGGGAAATTTCCATGCGGACCTTCCTCTGCATTCACAGCAGCACCGCATGGATGCCGCCCGGGACAACAATGTGCTTCATTGATGGCTGAGTAGGGATTTAAACCTGAACCTCCCTGCATGGATCTCAATAACAAATTCTATCGGAATGCAAAGGTCGCCTTAAGCATTTGAAGCTGCCTGTTGTGCAACGGGGCTGTCGCTCTGCCCAGTGGCCTCATCCGTTCTGCACGGACTCTCCGTAACTCTCCCAGCTCCTCGGGCAGCAATCCCGTTGAGTGTGCCAGGGTGCTCTGCGTGCTTCCCCGGGCCTGGGCAGACCGGGCTTCAGAACTCCCCTCGGCCACGAGAGCTCATTGGGCGCCACTGGCCTGCATGCCGGGCTTCACGCCTCTCTCCCAAGGGCTGTGCGCGAGCCCAAGCGGCTTCAGGTACTTGAGAGCAGGTGTCCTGGCATTTGCTCAGAAGACAGGCCAGTGGGCGTCAGGTTACAGGTGCTGGAGGAGCGGTAGCTTGCCTAAGACATCTCCCCCCCTCCAAGGAATTTTATCTATTTGCTTGATATGTATCTTACCTTTTTCCCCAACGGCAAACAAAACGGCTTGCTTGGTCTTCCTCTCCTCCATTTTATCCTGTGAGGATTTGCAGGGAAATTTTTGCATGTGGAAATATGACCCCACCCGTGTCCCCTCTAAGCCGAGTTAGTGTGAGCTAGCTCACAGTTTTTTTAGCCTCCAGCTCACACATTTTTGTCTTCGCTCAGGAAGGATGGGCTCCAGAGCAAACTAATTTACATAGTAGCCAGATCGCTCTCTCACAACTTTAACGCCAGGAGTTCACAAAGTGGAATTTTTGCTCACGAGCCTCCACAGCTTAGGGGGAGCATTGGACCCCACCCCTGTAGGTGTGCAGTCTAGTTATGCCCTGATTTTTTCCTCGATGGGGATCCAAAGTGGCACACATCATTTTCCTCCTCTCCATTTTATCCTCACAACAGCCCTGTGAAGTAGGTCGGGCTGTGAGCGGGGCAGGGTCACCCCGCAAGCGTCTGTGGCAGAGCAGGGATTCAGAGTGGGGTCTCCCATGCTCTAACCACGGCGGCGCAAGTGACTCTCAAAACAGAGGAGATGGTTCACCCACAGGACTTGCAGGTTGGCCCCCGTGCAAGCCCACCACCTCCAGCAGCTGTTGGCCGTGTTCCTCCCAGGGGTGGATGATGTTTATGGTGTTCGAGGCTGCTGCTCTCGGCCGCCCACTGCTTTCTGCCTGCTAATGGCTCGTCCTGGAGCGGAGGGTGCCAGCTAATGTTCTCTTTCTTCTCCTCCCCCCAGATCATCAGAAACTGGAACGGGAAGCTCGAATTTGCAGACTACTAAAACATCCCAATATTGGTAAGAGCCACTTGAGCGGTCCGTGGACTCTGCGGCTGAGGGAGGGCCGGAGGCTGGCCAGAGTGGGTGGGGAGCAGTGGTGGGCTCCAGGGTGCGCCCCGGGAGACTCCTGAGGCCACGCCTCTGCCGAGGGGGGCTGACCAGATTCTCCCTCCGAGAGGGAAATGGGGGGAGGAGGGAGCCTCTGCGCCTCCCCTGCCAACTACGCCAAGCGGAGGAGATTTACTGCTGGGAGAGCAGCACAACTCGTTTGACTTGTGCCCCAGGCGCCTTCCTCGTACCGCTTCTCTTCGTTTGCGAGTTGATTCTGCTCTGGGGGAGCGTGCAAGAAGTGCCACGTGTGCTGTGCTGACCGAGAGCGAGATCTGTCTAGCCCCCCCCCCCAACAGCAAATCACCCAGTGCTTTTGGAAACTCACTAGCCAAGGGCCAGAGTCGTTGGGCTTCCCCTGTTCCTTCCTGGCACTGGAGGTTTTCTGTGGACATGGAGGTTCTGTGTCGTTTTCGTGGGGCACGCCTTCTTGGGGCATGCGTGTGTAGGCCGCGTCCATGGAATAAGCTTTCTCTCGAAGGGTTTCTCTAGTGCTTGTGTTAGGAGAAAGGAGCTCGCAGGTGTCGGAAGCCCAGGTGCTTCTGCTGTCCCGGGAAATGCCGGCACAGGTCCCTCGGCTCTTTCCTGGAAGCGTCTCTTTCTCATGCCCAGGGATTCAGAATAGTTCTCCTGCCCATCGGTTGAGCTTGGAACTAGCTCTTCAGGCCCTAGCATGGGCATGGGGGTGGGGTGGGGTTTGCGTGGGAGACAGGCCTGCAGGGACCCATACGTGTCTCCTAAGAGGAAGGATCCCCACCCCACCCGCGAGCTTACCACTTGGTCTGCTTGTGACCGGCCATAGCATGACCCACTAGCAGCCCGCTGGCATGGAAGGCAGTCGCTGGGGGAGAGGTGGAACCCACGCTTGCCCTGAACGTGGGGGGAAAGCAACTGGGAAGGAGGCCTGCCGTGAAATAGTGGCTGGCTGGAGATGGGTTCAGGTGGGGGGGGGGCTGTGTGTCTCTTGTGTTCTGCCGCCCCCAGCAAGCAGGAGGTTTTGGGGGGGGGCTGGGTCTGCCGCCAGAAGTGTAGGGCCACCCATGGTGAGGGGGTGTGGAACTGCTTGCCCAGGGCTGTGGACAAGAGACATCCAAGCACCGATCCTGACACACAGCTATGGATGCTCGCTCAGTACCTTGCTGTCTAGCAGGGGACTTGGCACGCTGCCCCTCTCTTGAACTCTTGGATCCAGCGTCGCTTCCTCCATTTGGCCCAGTTCCCTGTGCATTCATTTAAAGGGCGCATTCAGAAGACTCTAGTGCAAAGCCCTAAGCTTTTTGGCTCCTAGCTGCTGGAAACCAGGGGAGCCGTGAGTCTTTATTTCGCCTCTTTTAAAACCCTTTTGTCTCTTGCCCTGGGTGTGTGCGTTTCCATGGTTCTCATCCTGGGAGCAGGTTTATTTCCTCTGTTGTGTCTCTCCCCCTCCTCCCCCCCATGTAAGAGTGTGGGAAAATTGCCCACTTGGAGGGGTAGTTGGAGGATTACAAAAAAAAAGCACGGGGATCGTGGGAACAGCGTTCACTTAAAATGAAAAAAAGAAAAGAAAAAGAAGGCTCTGACAAAAAGGCACGTTATTTACTAAGTCTTCAAAACAGCGGCGTGGGTTTTTACCCTTTCCAAAATCCTGGAGACGCTTGCCCGTCGTGTCGTGCTCATTTCAGTCCAGCGCAGGGAGGGGGGAGGTGGCCTTGTGAGCAAAGGAGAAGACATGTCGGTGTGGGTGTCTTTAGGACTGTTTTGGGAAGCGAGTGTTTCTGGGGAAGAACAGTGCTGGGGAAGTCCAGTTTCAAGGGTGGAGTTGAAGCCCCCAGGCCCCCCCCCCTATCGGAGTACCATTTATCTCACACAGCGGCACTCTGTTTGCCCTCCAGCAGTGGTGGGTGGTACAGAGGCAGGGCAGGGCATCCGATCAGTGGTTGGGCTTCTTCTAAAGGTCATGGCACCTGCTTAACCCTTCTTGATTGGGGCATCAGTTGATACAGGTGGGTCTGGATTTTTAGGTCTGTTGAGGCTAAATGGTAGGATGTATTGAAGTTTTGGGGATGGATTTTCCCCCCCTTGAATCAGCAGCCATCATGAAAGATGGGCATCCAGAAATAAGCATAGAGTTGTAAGTTCTCTGTGTAGCTCTTAAAAACTAAGCATCTGTTGTCCCTGTAGGCTATATATAAAACAAACAGGCCTGCCGCTCACTTATGTGGAGTGAGATCTGTCAACAAATAAAAATTTAAATCTGCCCTATGACTGATGCTTAATAAAGAATTGATTACATAATTTTGCAAACTTTGCCAAACTTCCTGGGTGCTTTCTGAGAGGAAGTGTTTTATCATCAGTGCTTTATGTCTGAAACAACATACAATTCACTGTTAGGCTGTTTCTGATATTTTCCTCGGACTTGGTAACAGAAGAGACACCCTGCCGGATTGGACCAGTGGTCCATACAGTGCGGCATCCTGTGTCCACACAGTGGCCAATCAGTATGGAATACTGCTTGGTTTTTTTTTTGCTCCCCAATGGGGAATTTTTTATTGCATTTTTTATTAAAACTACAAACTATAACAGAAATAAGGGAGGGGACTACAATTAGGGGGATAAAGAAAAGATACCCACTGCTGACTAAAAACCCAAGAGAGGAGATCTTCTAATCAGCTTGAATACACATCTAGTCTTAATCATATTAATCTCATTACAAACTGAGTCACATATTCTGTTAACTTTTCCCACATCTTAAATTTAACTGATATAAGGAAATACCCCAAAGCATCTCAATTCAAAATTTTTCAAAGGCACAATTCAGAGTCCTTCAGCCTTCACCTCTTCTTGTCCAGTCTCTTCCGCAACTTATAAGTACTTTTAGGAGCTGCTGCCCCTTTCTCAGACAGAGAGTCCTCTCCGGAAGAACCCGAGTCCAGCTCGCCACTGGACTTGCTGTCCCCTTCTTTTTCTTCCTCCTCTGGCCCTCCCAGCTGGACTCTTAAAAATTATCTCGCTTTCAGAACAGAGTCAATCTTCTCTTTTTTTATCCTTAATTTTGAAGGTGACACCTTCTGGAATTAGCTATCTATATCCAATTGAATTTGTTTGAAGAAAAAGAACAAGGTCTTTATATTTCTTTCTCCGCTGTCTTATTTCAAATAGAATATCCTTCAGTACTCTGATAACACTCTCCCCAGCTCTCAGGGGTCACAGTAAAACACCAAAGCCTCACAAAATGAGCACGTTCAAGACCTGTCAGTTTTGTGGATGTTCTGGGGTTCAGATATCTGATGGCAGTGCCTTTGTCCGGCTTCTCCTAGGATCCTTTGCCTGTAGACGCTGCTGCTGCTGCTGCTAATTTCACTTCAGGACAGAAGGTCACAAAGTAGATGGAGGGGGGAAGGCCAGAGGATTTGGCACAGGGCAGCCCTTTCAAGAGCCCCGGGGTTTCTTGGCTTCACTGAAAGGGCTGGGTGGCACGATTTCCTAATTCGCTATTAAAGTTTAAGAGATGAACCACACTGATCATTGATTAAAGATTACAGTCCTGCGGGTGATCTTTGGCAGGGGGGAAGGTGAACTTGACATTGACTCCCCAGTGGGTGTGGGTGTGAGCGCATGCATGCTTATAGCTCTGAAACAAGGGTACCCCTGACCCTGCCTCCCCCTCCCCCCTCGTCAGCCCACACGAAATGTCCATAGAGTGAGGATTCTCTGACAAAGTGGGCCATAATCGTTTCAGTGTGTGCTGGAATAGACCTCATGAGTCCTTAATGTGTTCCTGGACTCAACTGCCAGTGAATAAAAAGGGCTGCCGCCTCTGGAATGGTGCATTGTGAAGTCCTGTCATTGGGACAATTACTGACCGAAGTTACTTTGTGAAGAACCCTGGCAGAGCGAACAAGAACCAGTTCATTAAACCAGTAGCACAACATGTAAGGAAGCAGGAGGAAAGTTATAAGAACTGGGCAGACTGAATAGAGGGCAAAACTCACAGAGATACCACCCTGTGGCAGAGAACACCCTCCTCCTCCTCCTCCTCCTCCTCCGTGCAGGGCCTTCTGTGCTCTCGGTCAGAGCTCCACCTCCTGGACAGCGATTGGGGTCTGTTCCCCCCCGCCCCGCCCTAGCCCAGTCCAGAAGCTTGGAAGGTGCCCTGGAGGCATGGGCCCACTGCAGAATTTACATTTACATGAAGGCCTTAGGCCTTTGTGGAAGAGAGGCTTCCTTGAGGCCTGGAGGGTGCACCTTCTTCAGCCTCAGGCCTAGGAGCCCGAAATGGGGCGGATTAAGCTCTCCATGTGTGTATGAGAGAGAACAGAAGAAGAGCTCTCCGAGACCAGAGTCAGCACCTCTCCGGTCCAGTATCCTGCGTCCCACGGCGGCCAGTGGCGGGCCTTGGAAAGGCCAAGACCACAAGAAGGGAATTAAGGGAATGGCGAGGGTTTGGCCGCTTCCCATTCCGATCTGGGCCTTGGAAAGGCCAAGACCACAAGAAGGGAATTAAGGGAATGGCGAGGGTTTGGCCGCTTCCCAGGGGGTGGCCAGAGATCTCCCAAAATCACAGCTGAAAAAAATTCTCCAGGTATTTCCAAACCCAGAGGTGGCAACCCTGGCAAATAGCCCTTTGCCCCCGCGGCTCCCAACAAAGTGGCTCAGAGGGGCTCGTAACATCTCTGCTCCACCAAGGCACAGGTCCATCGCAGCTGTGTGTTTGCTAGAGTTTCCAGTTTCCAGGCAGGGCAAACCAAAGAGAGTGGTCACGGGAAGGAAGCTGAGAAGAAGCAAACATCTGAGATGTATTATGCCGAAAAAGTCTCCCAAGGACTAGACATTTCTTTTTCCAGTATTCAATTTACTGGAAGCAATTCAAACGCCATCAACGCCAACGAACCATGCATAGCATATCTCGTTTTGTCTATAACTTTATCAAA